TGAACACATATTTTTAATAAATCCTAAAACTGTGCTCCTTTAACCCTCAAATCCCTAAAGCACTGCCTGACTACTCTTTGTCTATCAGTGCTATAAAAGGAAAAGCAGCTTAGGCTACAAAATACTGTATATGTATACCCTGCTGTTTAAAAAAAACAAATCTATTTTTAAAAATGTGAACTTAAAACAGAAAAATTAGTTTTCCCACTATGAGGAATTTTCCCTTCACAAAAGAATTCTTTAAATATTGATCTCCTTTGCTGTGTTTGTACAGAAAAATAAGTGTTAGGAGTACCAATAAACTAAAAACCAATCAGAATATGTAAAGTAGTTCTCATTTGTTTAAATGGAAAAAAACATTTTTTCTAACTATAAAAAAAAATCAACTTATAGAATTTTAAGGAACATTTAACTGGTCTCTTAGCTCTACAACCCTGATTCAATTGCTTAAATTGAAGTGTTATTTGAGTACAGCTCTTTCACTTCCCAACACACATTTACTCACATTCACACCCACCTTCTAGAGTTTTCTCTCTTCCTATCTCCCAGGCAGAAAGACAGAGATGCTGCCAGCTATCAATCATGCTTCTTACCTCTACACCTCTTCTGGTGGGTGGGGGTGGGGGGGTTGTCTAGTTTACTTTTATATAAAGAGAACACATTCCTTTTGAGTATACATTTTCTTTTAGACAAACTTTATACTGGGAATAATTGAAAAATCTTTCCTTTACAGCTCTCTACTTTGCAGCCATTCTTTTCATTTAAAAACATTCCTTCTAAAAAAGTTTCAGTAATTAACACCCCTATTTTATAGTCTGGCAGACTAAATTACAATAGGATTAATACAAGCATGCATGGAATTTAGGTCTTTTGATTCCTAGTTTATTACTCTGCCTAGATTTCACTGTCTTTTTAAACCAAATGAGAACACAGTGTTCTTAATCTGGAGACCTCATCAAAAAAAAAAGCAACTGTATTCAGATTATTACACTGATTAAGCTAAAAGTACTTGCTTTATACAAATTTTAAACAATGGCAAGGATACATTAATTTATCAACCCCTAAAAGTAAGGACTGACAGCAACTACTGCAGTAGTATAAGGTACTTGGACCATACTGTTTAGTAATTTCAGAAACCAGTGCAGCTAGGTTACTTGTTTCTGCTGTTGTGCTTTCTTTAGTGCTTCAAGTCTCTTTTCTTTGAGGCGCTCCAAATCATCCTCATCCATCTGATCCAGTTTTTGAATCTCAGAGTCCAGCTGCTGTTCCACAATACTGGTTGTCTGAAGCAACTGATTCTCCAGGACTTTTGCAAACATGTCAACAGATGTATGAGCTTCCATTTTTTTGACTGTATTGTTCACTCCTTACAAGTAGGGAAATAAAAATACACAATTAAAATGTTGCTAACATGAAACTATGTTTTCTTAGATTCTCCATAATGTCAGCAAGTAACAGCCTACAGGTAACTGACATAGTGATTTTGACTAGTTGTTTCCTTTCCTAGGCCATAAGTATGCACTCATGGAAAGTAAGAGATGATTAGAAAAAGAGTTGTTTTTGATTCAGATTCTTATTCCGTAATAAAACTAAGCCATATTTATTAAATGCTTACTATGAACGTAGACCAATGTGCTATAGGCCCTGGAGGAAATACTGGGGAAATGTTAGATACGATATGGTCTTTCCTCTCATGGAGTTCACAATCTAGGGGTTGGGGAAGCAGAGTTGCTAAAATAATTGAGGTCTGCATTTTAAAATTATATGTAGTGAATTAAAATGTCTAAGATAGAATAATAATAATCCAAGGAGGCATGATTTCATTAACATGAGCACAACTGCCACCAAAACAAATCACAACCCCTCTACAACTTGGTAGATAGCTTTCAATTAAAAACTGCCCTGGCTGAAAAGTTCATCACCCTTCAGCCAATCTTGTGATAAATGCCTGAAATCAGATATCAAGGATGATAGACATATAGTCTGTTGTTAATATCTGAAAGTTTTCCAGCCTGGTAGGGCCTTCCAGAGCCTGAAATCTATTTGCCTCACTTCTAAGCTATGGGGCATTGACAGGAGGAGGACTTTAGTCAGAGTTGGGGCTTACATTTATGTAATTCACTAAGACTCAATACTTTTTATAAAGGAAATTTCAATTCAATTAACATTTAAGCACCTACTATGTGGTTCCTAGGCCCAGGGATACAAAGAAAAAAAGGAAACAGTTCTTTTCTTCATGAAGCTTACATTCTATTGGCTAATAAATGTGAACGAAAAAGGGCTATAGAACACAATCTGTTGAATAAACATTCTCTATGATAATAATTTGCAGTATAAGCATTATTGCTACTGTATATTTTACAATAGAATTCATTACATGGCAGAATTCAGTGTTTTAGGCTCCATGTAAAAGGGGATCATTTGTTGAAAGACAAGAAAGGTATCTTTATAATTTGATCCTATAGTCACGCAGGTTCAAATTTTTGGTATTATCTTTGATTCTTCCCTCTCTTTCATCCATCATGTCCAATCAGTTGCTAAACTCTGTCATTTCTCCTTTCTAATTCCTCATCTATTCCTTTCTTTCTACTCCCATTGCCACCATAGGTCCTCATTATTTTTTGCTTGGATTATTTTAACTTCCTCCTACTTTGTCTCTCCTTGACTTTAGTCTATCTATTCCCTTTCTGAGTGATCTTGCGAACTGCTGCAAAGTAATCTTCCTAATGCACAGGTCTGACTATGTCATTCCTCTGCTTCAAAACTTCAAGATCACAAAGCCTCACATCTGGAGTATGAAAGAAACTTAGAGATGATTTAGTGATCCAGTCAACATTCTCATTTTGTAGATGAGAAAACTGAAAACCATAAGGCTGAATAAGCACAAAGGGAGTTAGTGGCAGAGCCAGGATTCAAATTCAGGTTTTCTGAATCCTAGTCCAGTGTTCTTTACACAATGCTGTTCTCATTGCTAAGGTTAAAATAAAGATTCCTGATTTTGGCATTTCTTTCACACTATTTCCCTTAATGAAATCTATGTTCCAGTCAAACTCTGTTACTATTTCTTTCATCTTATCTTGCTTTCCCTTCCCTCCATCCTTCACGCCTCTAAGTACCCATTTTCATCATCTCTGTTGAAATACTTCCCTTCAAGGCCCAGATCAAGTGCCTACCTCCTCTAGGAAGCTTTTCCTAAAGCCCCTTCCCCAAGTCTTAGTCTTTGTATCCTCATGGCCAGGCACATAGGAAGTGCTTGATAAATGTTTGCATTAAACAAAACTTGCCTGATTCAGACACATTGGTGAGGAACAACTGTCTACAATACAAAACATTTATACGATTCGTGATTGCATGTTACTGGGCTGTTAACAGGAGCCCCGATGAGCCAGTTTAAAACCTACTTAACAACAGCTTCGAGGCGGGTTCTGTTAACTCTTTTTGACAAAATGCACAGTCCCGTTAGTTCCCTACCCATCTTCCTCTACGATCATCTCCAATTCTGCTTTCCTTCCAGCTTTAATCGCTAATCCCTATGGCCCGTTTTCTTTTTCGGCGGGGAGAGGGAGACACAAGGCGAAAGACTAGCCGTGTCCTCAAACAACCTGAGGGCTTCTTTACTTCCCATCCGTGGGGACTCTGTTTTGGGGATCGGGCAGGCCTGAGTTCTTCAGAAACAGCCACGAAGCCTCGGGTTCCACTCCGAGATCTCCATTCCCACCTCTCCCGGCCACCCCACAAAATGGGAAAAGGGTCGCTGAAGTGAGAGCAAGCGCCCCCTCTCCCCCCCACCCCCGGCTTCAAAGCCATTAAAGACGCATGCGTGGCCCAGTCCGCAATTGCGCACTAGAGGCGTCGGCCCCTCCCCCCAACGGGACTACCCCGCTCGTCTTTCGTTTCCCCACCCCCCTCCGCGCTCCGCGCTCCCCGCTCCCCGCCTTGCTCTTAGCGTGTTATGGTCGCCCTACGGACATCGCCAATTTAGCTTTCTCGCCTCAGGGCTCACCTCACCTGAAATCACGGCGATTGCTGCGGTTCCCTTCCCCTCCCCCGAGAAGTGCCAAACACTTGGCGGAAGGTCACTGCTACTTCTGGTTCTCCTGCAGCAGCAGCAGCAGCAGCAGCAGCAGCAGCAGCGGCGGCGGCAGCGGCGGCGGGTGGGCACCAGCCAGTTGCATACACTACGCCCTCATTGGCTGTTTTCCACGTTCGACGCGAACCGATTGCCGCTCTAGGGGAGAGAAAGTGAGCGTCCCCGGCGCATGCGCTCTCCCGCTCGTCTGCGTACCCTCGTCTCCCTTTGGTTTCTGGGTTTCTCAGAAGATAGGCGTAACTGCCTCGGGTGGGTTTTTCTACGGAACGTGTAAAAGCCCAAGGTTCTTTACTCTCTTCCGGACCAAAGAATTCCAATACTGCGCCTCAGAGGTGCGACGGGAGGAGCAATGCATCTTGGGAATTGTAGTACTTTGGGGATGGAAGTGTTGTCCATTTGCTTGATTGACTCTTTTCCCTATAGTCCTTCAATGAATGTTTTATAGTAAACTACATAACAAAGATGAAATATATCTCCTTGAACATATTTTCTGGTTTTATTTTTCCAGATGAGAACTGAGACAGCATATAAGAGACATAGGATTAAAAAAAATCCAACTTTTTCTCTTTTAATGAGAGGATTGAAACTTAACCGTTCAGAAATTTGCTTTCCAGCACCGGTTGGACTGACTTGGGAGAATTACGTGAACTTTATCACAGAACAGTGAAACAAAAGATTAACAGCTTCTTAGGAGCTTCGGTAGTAGAAGGTTCTCCGCCAGGCACTCGGGACCCTGCACTTCTGACTCCTAAAGATAGGGAGCGCTCTCCTCACCCAGCGTCACCCGCGGGAGTCTGGGGACACTCTACCTTAAACGTAGAACTCTATGAGACGCTTTGCGTCCCCACGCCAGGGTGGCGGGGGCGATGCGCCTGCGCTGTGCGAGTTCATACCATATGTGCCCTGTCCCCGTGTTCGGGTTTGTGGTGAGCCGGGTCCGAGAAGCGGCGGCGGCGGAGGAAGGACAGAGAGCTGGGCCAGCTGAGGGGCTGTGGGTCAGTAAGGGGCTGAGCGAAGGTACTGGAGTCGCGAAAGCCATTGTCACGCGATGGGGAAGAAGCAGAAGAATAAGAATGAGGACAGGTAGCGGCGGCGGCGGCTCGGTGGGGGCGCGCGGGGTCTGCGCGGACGAGCCTCGCTTTGGGGAGGGGAGGGAGGTCACGAGCCTCAGTCCACCGGCTGGCTCGCGGGGTAGGGGGACAGCCGGGGCGGAGGGAAGGGGCCTCCTGGGTTCAGCCGGTGTGGGAGGCAGGGGGACGCCAAAGTTAAGCCACCATGTGCTGGGGCGGACCGGCTGGCCGGGCCGGATCTTCCCTTTCCCGCCCCGGGGTCAGTCTCCACCCTCAGCCCTTCCACTAAACCCTATTTTCCACTGTCCCGGATCAGGGGGTGGGGGTGGGGTGGAGGGAAGTGGGGACTTGGGAGGCCGGAGGGAGCCCGACCCTGCGCGAGGGGTCTAGGGGATTGAGCCCCTGTCGTTGAGGGGAGTACGAGGGAATAGGGAAGGGCTCGAGGCCATTCCTAGGGGGTAGAGA